ATATCAAATGAAAACATTTCCAATGATGCTAATTTCACAATTCCTAATCCTAATCATTAGTGTAAGAATACAAATTCTCGCCACTACTATAATATGTTAGATTCTAACATCTTATGCAACGGTCCTTTCGTAATATCAAAGCGCCAAAGTCACCAAGACTTTTCCAAGGATATTACAAAGTGTTATAATGGATATTGTTACAAGACAATCCCATAGATGTGAAGTCTCACATTCAAAGTACATTCCTTTGAACATCCTTCGTGCATAGAAATTTTCTAATCTAGACATAAATTCTTAATGTCCAACTCCCAATAAGAAAACATTTCCATATTTGCCATATGACAACTCATTCTAAATAGAATCTTGTCTATTCATAATAATGTCAATATGGTCCATCCATTAGTATACTTCTAACTGCTCACAATCAACCAATCATTGGTGAACCTTAGATTTTCCTTGACAGTTATTTAATTATTTTAATCAAATCCGATTCTAGTCCCTTTTTCCCTCTTAATGCCCTAGACATTTGGAAAATTTTAGAATGGTAAAATATTACAACATATCTAATCAATCCTATACAAGAAGTGTATGGGACATGATTCATAATGTCTTACATAAAAGCATGATACTTTATCAACCATTTGCCATAATATTTCTATTTGCCACATTCTCGCAATTCTAACTATGAAGAGGGATGCCGTAATCATAATCGAATTTTGAGAATGCAGTTAATATATCCTTGACTAAATCTGATTAAAATTTCTCAATCTAAGCTTTTAGATTTGAAACGAAGTATAAGATTCTCTCTCTTAATTATAGCAAAACAACTTTTCAACCCCTGCAATCTTTACAAAGTGAAACTTTTGTTTTCTATAATTAATATTGCCAACCTGCAACACTTAAAATAATAATCATGCTCCCACTATCATGATGATTATATCCATCCCAGCATACCATTTATGCTTCCACTAGCTTTGACACGTATTCAGAAGTTAGATAAACTTCTATAAAACAATACTTATTGACTTCCAAAGTTCATCTTTTCTAATATGATATGCTTCGATAAGACTTTATCTAAGCTTCTCAAACTCATACACCTTTCCTTAGATAGCTCACATGTATGTATAAACTAATTCAGAACTTATATTACTAAGTCCTAAACGTTCAGACTAATCGCTAAATCTCACAATTCGAACAATAAAGAGGGATGTCGTAATCATAATCGAATTTGAGAATGCAATTTACATAATCGTTTTCTCCTTAAAATCTCTCTTAGTGAAAGCGTTCCTTCATAATCATTTTCATGAAGGAGAGAAACCTTATGACACTTAGATTTTATGGTGTATGTGTTCATATCTGTGAGAATTTGTCATAACCATAATCGTAAGATAATGCTTCTGACAAATCCAAACTCTTATGGACAAAACTTGCTTGATTTCATGCCATTAAGGG